TGCCTGTAATCCCAGCTACCCGGGAGGCTGAGGCAGGAGAATTGCTTATCACTTGACTCTGGGAGGCAGAGGCTGCAGTGACCTGAGATCGTGCCATTGCACTCCAGCCTTGGTGGCAAGAGTGAAACCTCATCTCAAAAAGAAAGAAAGAGAGAGAGAGAGAGAGGAAGGAAGGGAGGCAGGGAGGGAAGGAAGGAAGAAAGAAAGAAAGAAGCTGGGCGTGGTTGCTCATGTCTGTAATCCCAGAATTTTGGGAGGCTGAGGTGGGTGCATTACCTGAAGTTAGAAGTTCAAGACCAGCCTGGCCAACATGGTGAAACCCTCTCTCTACTAAGAATACAGAAAAGAAATAGCTGAGCCTGGCAACACATGCCTGTAATCCCAGGTACTTGGGAAACTGAGGCAGGAGGATCGCTTATCACTTGAGGCAGAGGTTGCAGTAATCCAAGACCATGCCATTGCATTCCAACCTGGGTGATGAGCAAAACTTCATCTCAAAAAAAAAAAAAAAAAAAAAAAAAAAAAAAAAAAAAAAAAAAAAAAAGCTATGGTGTAGAGATGCTGGTGGCTCCAACTAGGCTGGTGTCAGAGATGATAGCAAAAAATGAATGAAATTGAAAGATGCATTTTAATGTTTCATTGATATGAATTTCTGCATAAACATAAAGGTAAAAATAGATATTTATGCTCATTTTCCCCAGTGTTTGACCCTCATCTCTAGAATCCAGATGTGTATTGCACTGCCTCCATCTCTGTTTAAGTTAACAATGATAAGATCAAATATTTGCTACAGTCTAGGGAACTATCCCAACTGCTTTGCATATGTTCTATCATATAATTTTCAGTAGAGTCTCCATGTCTTATTAAAATTTCTACTTCATAAATAAGTTAAAATACCTTGAAGAGGGCCGCATGATTGGTTAGTGGGAGAATCTAAATTCAAACCTAGGCAGTTTGCCTACAGAGACCACCTCCGAGTAACACTATGTCTTCCCATCTCTAATCTTACATCCAATTGAACGCCTCAAAGTTATATTCTACTGCATCTCTTAAGACTAAAATATGACGAGGGAGTTTTCTATATACTTTAATTATCCATGTGCTGCCTGTCTTCCAGAAGCAAAGATAACAATGAGTTGGCTGCACCTATAAATGCTGCAGTGCTGAAAAATCTCCAGCTCTTTAAATGTCATCTCTCAAAACTCTGGAAAGCTGATTGCAAAGTGGGAATCCTTTGCTTGTGATCAGAGTGTTACATTAATTCTTAAAGGAGTTACTCGCAACTTCAAAATGATTTTCAGCTCAAGAAAAGTCCCAAACACCCTGTTTTCTCCTTGACATATTCAGCTGCAGAAAAATAGAAGAACATGCCAGCATCTATGGTGACACTTTATGACAGACATCAAACAAATATGTTGATGGCAATGATGACAACTGAGTGGAAACATTAGCCTGTAGCAGATTAATTCTTGGTGCAAACCATGCCTTTCATGTATGTGGATGCCATCCTGATGTTTCCTATAGAAAGGAAAACTGGGACACTTTTGGGAGTTAACAGAGCCACTAACTGGATGGGACAACCGAAATAAACCAGGACTAATCTAGGCAAATGAGGATGTAAGAACTTCTGAGTAGTTACCTTATGCCAATGCACCATTTGTAGTTGGCGCATAGGTCTTACTATAGCTTTTGTCTTGAATTACTGGTGTCAGAATCTTTCTTTCATACTAGAATTCCATTGCGTCATTGCAAGGGTGAGTCAGGGAATAGGTGAGTGGTAGAAATGGATGAAAAAGTCTTAGAAGAAAGAGTGTGGATTTTGGAGCTTCATAAACCTGTCTCAAACACCATTTCTACCGCTAACTTATTGGATGGTTTTCGTATGACAGAACTCAGCAGAACATCAAGTTACTTGTCTAGGCTACATGCATGTCCCCATTGCCTGATTGGTACTAAAGATGACAGAAATAAGGAATCTGACCCTTAGAAGTTTCTCAGTAATAATGGATATTACCATTAACATTATCTTTTCATTTTACATATCACTTCTTGCAGTGGCTGGAGGTGGGTTCTTTTTCTCTATTTATTGACATAATTAAGATGTCTAGTGGTAGGACAATAGGAGGTGCTCAACAAATACTGAGCTGTATACTAACCAGCAACATGTTAGACTCTATGCAATAATGGCCCAACTAACAATAGCTTTGAGAAATATAGATTCATTTGCCTCGTGAAACCAAATTTTAGGGTTGGGAAATCCAGGGCTGTTACATTTGCTCAATGAAGCTGAGGGCCCAGGACTTTGGCTATTGTACATCACACCGTTTTTAGCAGAAAATACATCAAGGAGACGTCTCCTTAGAAAGTTTGTATCCTCCAAGTTTCCATCAACATCTGAACTTATCTGTGTGTTATGGAAGTTGCAGTCTCGTGTGGGCAATTAATTGACCCTGTAGACAGCTCTCTAGTTCTCCTAGGCACCATTATCTAATTTATTCTTTATCCAGACCTCCCCAACTTATTTGGTGTATTAGTGGAATGAGACATTAATGCCTTCAACCCTCAGTATATTCACATGGGATCTGTAATGTCCAAATCTGCTGGGTAAGTCACTTCTACATTGGAGCAGCTTTACTGTTACTTATGAAAAAAAAAAAAAAAAAAAAAGGTAATTTTAACATATTCTGTAATGTGGAAAAAATTAGAAAACATGTAAACATAAAAGAAGCCCCAATGAGAATAATATTTGTGCCTAATAGGTTGGCAAAACTTAAATAGTCTTAATAATCATAAGAGTAGTAAAGGGTATTGATGAAGAAGATTACTTTATAAACTTTTGATGTAAGTGTTATTTTGTCCAAAAACTTTGGCAAACAAGTTTATATTATATTGTGAAATTTAATATTCACATATACTTCACAACTTAGCAATTTTATGCCTAGCAATTTTACTCCAGGGAAATGTTACCACATGACTCCCTGGAAACATGTACAAGTATGGTCCTAGCAGTATTATCTACTGTGAAAACAAATAAGCCAACAAAGCTGGAAACAACCTAAATTCCAGAAGAAGAAAATACATTTAGATATATTCCTACAATAAAATACCATACAGCAATAGAAATGAATGCTGAACAAGTCACTATGGGTCTGACTTAGAAGCATTGTTTGGAAAATAAAGTCCCTCAAGCGAGATATAGTTTGATAGCATTTTAAAAAAGTATATTAACAAATTAAGCTAAAGTATGTGTATGTGCCATGTGTGTATGTATGCAAGACTATTTTAAATCAAGTAAAATAATGAACATCATTTGGAATAGTGGTTACCTCTCAGGTGGATGAAATTTCCACCTGAATTTCAACTAAGTTTAAATTTTTTAAATTATTTTGAAACATTTTTGTGGTTACATAGTAGGTGGATATATTTGAGGGGTACGTGAGATAGTTTGATACAGACATGCAATATACAGTTATTATTGACTATACTGACCCTGTTAATGTTATTGAGAGCCCACCTTTGAAACTTGTCCCTGCATAAGGTATAAATTGGTTTTGCTCTAGACTTGCAAATTTTAGAAAATGTAAACAAATATTCATACCCTATTACTCAAGTCAAATGATGTTCCTGTTTCCAGCACATGGGACCATCTGTGCAACCTTAGACCACTTCTTATTATCTCATTGCTGGGGGTCTGTTTTGTGGGCCAGGGTGGTTTAAAGCGCTCAAAATTGAGGAGATAAATCTTGTTATCCAACTGACCCTAGGACCATTTTTTCCAGTTTGCTATTTGATTTCTTAAATTTACATATGGTGAATTTTTCCCCCATTTATTTATTTTATTGCATTTTAGGTTTTGGGGTACATGTGAAGAACATGCAAGATTGTTGCATAGGTACACACGTGGCAGTGTGATTTGCTGCCTTCCTCCCCATCACCTACATCTGGCATCTCTCCCCTTGCTATCTCTCCCCAGCTCCCCACCCCCCACCGTCCCTCCCCTATTTCCCCCCAACTGACCCCAGTGTGTAGTGCTCCCCTCCCTGTGTCCATGTGTTCTCATTGCCCATAGATGATAGACTGGACAGGGAAAATGTGGCACATATACACCATGGAATATTATGCAGCTGTCAAAAACAATGAGTTGGTGTCCTTTGTAGGGACATGGATGAACCTGGAAACCATCATTCTCAGCAAACTGACAGAAGAGCAGAAGATCAAACACCACATGTTCTCACTCATAGGCGGGTGTTGAATATATGGTGAAATTTAATGTACATCATGTATAATTCACTTTTTGATGTACAATCCTGTGAATGTTGACAAATGCAGAGAAATGTGACCTCATCCACAGTAGGACGCAGAACAGTTCTCTCAGCTCCACCATTTCCTGGTGCTGTCTCTTAGCAGTCACACTTTTCATTAGCCCATAACCCTTGTCAACCACTGGTCTGTTCTCTCTCTCTCTCCCTCTCTGGAGTCTTTCCCTTTACAGAATGTCATATGCATGGTATTTTACATTGAATAATCTTTTGATACTGACTTCTTTCACTAAACATAAAGCATTCACCCATGTTGCTGTGTATGCCAACAATGAAATGCTGAGTAGGCTTCCATTGCATGGCTGAATCATTTTGTTTTTAATCCATTTTCTACCACTGCAGGATGTTTGAGCTGTTTCCATTTTTAAGGTTATATGAATAACACTGTTATAAACATTTATGAAACATTTTCTGTATGAACCCGTTTTCATTTCTGTATGATAAATACTTAGTAGTAGTATTGCTTGGTCATAATGTAAGGGTATATTTAACCTCATGAGAGACTATGAAAATATTTTTCAGAGTAGCGATATCATTTTGCAGTCCCACTAGGAATGTGTGAGAGTTCCAGTTGCTCTGCTTCCATGTTAACACTTGGTATTGTTACTTTATTCAAAGGCACTCTAAAATGTGTGCTGCCATAAGTTATTATGCCTGTTCAGCTTTCTTTTTTTTTCATTTTTTTCCAAAAATTGCACCAGCATAAAGCAGGGCTTTAGTTGATGTGAGTGTGTTGTTTAGGCGTTAGCAGTACTGCCCACACTATGCTCACTGGACAGTAGTGCAACCCCAAGAAAAGGATGGTTCCCTGTTCAGTTTTTTTATCAACTTTCATTGGGTTGTCTATCTTATTGTTGATTTGAATGTGTGTGTGTGTGTGTGTGTGTGTGTGTGTGTGTGTGTATATGTGCACACACATATGTATATACACATAAATTTCTCTGTGTGTGAGTCTAAATATAAGTTTTCAGATATGCCATTAGCAAACATTTTCTCTCATTCTGTTATTTATTTATTTTGATATGGAGCCTTGCTGTCATCCAGGCTGAAGTGTAGTGGTGTGATCTCAGCTTACTGCAAACTCTGCTTCCCAGTTTCAAGCAATTCTCCTGACTCAGCCTCCTGAGTAACTGGGGCTACAAGTGCATGCAACCATGCCTGGCTAATTTTTGTATTTTTAGTAAAGACAGGGTTTCAGCCTATTGGCCAGGCTGGTCTCTAACTCCTGACCTCAGGTGGTCCACCTGCCTCTGCCTCCCAAGGTGCTGGGACTACAGGCATGAGCCACCATACTTGGTCTTTTAGAGCAATCTTGAACCCAGGAAATTGACATTAGTATAATTCACAAAATTTGTTCAGATTGCCCCAGTTCTATGCACATTTGTTTATGTGTACGTGTGCATATGTATGTAGTTTCATGTAATTTTATCTCATGTAGATTTGTGTTACCACTATCACAATTATAATGTAGCACTCTTTTCAGGATTTATATAAATGGTCTTTATCAGATTAAGGAAACTTTCTTTTATTTATAATTCGCTGAAAATTTTGTTCTTTTGTCATGAATGTATAGTTTTGTGACCCAGAATGTGTTCTAACTTGGTGAATGTTCCATGTAAACTTGAAAAGAATATGTATTCCACTGTTGTTGGATAAAATCTTCTATAATGTAGCTTAGGTTAAGTTGAATGGTAGTGTTTTATATATGTACTGTTTTTCTGTTTGTTCTGTTTACTGAGATAGGAGTGTTTGTCTTCAAAAATAATTTTGAATTAGTCTGTTTCTTTTTTCAGTTCTATAATATTTTGATTTATGCATTTTGAATTGCTGTTGTTAGGTGCATATACATATACGATTTTTTTGTTGCTTTATATGAAAATATTCCTAAGAAATGTTTTGCCGTATATAAAATTTGGAGTTGTTTTCTCTTTCTTCCCCCAGCATGATAAAAATGCTGTTACACTATCTTCGGTTCTTTATGGTTCGTGATGACAAATCTAAGTCATTTGAATATAACTTTTGTTTCTGCTCTGGAAATTTTTCTTTATTTGTAGTTTTCAGTACTTTATAATTTTTTTTGAGCATGGTTTATTTTGAGTTTATTCTTTATTAAAGATCACTTAGATTTTTGAAGTTCTAGTTATACATCTTTCACGTTTTGGGAAAGTTTTCAGCCATTATATTCTCAAAACTTTTTTTTGTTTTTGAACCAATTTCTTCTTCTCTCCTGCTGGAACCCCAGTGATAAAAAATTTAGAACTCGTATATTGTTCTAGTGGTCTTTAAGGCTGTCCACCTTAGGTTTTTACATTTTTCTTTCTGTTTTTTAGATTGACTAGGTTTTCTTGATCTGTGTTCAAGTTCAAAGGCTTTTTCCTTTATCGCCTTTATGATCCAATGATTTTATTTTGTTTTATTTTGTTATTATAATTTTTATTTTTGAAATTTCTACTCAGTTATTTTTAGAGTTTTTATTCCCCGTTGAATCTTTCTGTCCTACCATTTATTTAATAATTGGTCACCGCTGTTTCACAGGACGTCTATAATGACTGCTTTAAAGTCTGTCTGATTGTTCCAAAATGTGGATCATCTCAGAATTAGTGTCTGTAGATTGTCTCATTGCTTGAGTTAGTGAGATTGGACTGGTTCTTTTTATGTCTATCAAACTTGAATGAGTTCCTGGTGACTTTGAAGAGTAGGCTATGAGAGTCTGGATTTTGTTAAAACTCTCTAGACAGGATTGGCATTTTTAATTTAGCTGGTCCTAACTTTCTTAGGTTCAGATCACAAGTCCTGATCTGACTTCTGTGGTCTGTGGTTCTATGTCAGTTAAGTTTTCAAAGGTCTTGATCAGCTGGAGGTGCCTTTTGGTCCTTCCCATAAGGGTATGACCCAGAGACCAGTATAGACCCTGGGAAGTGTTTCTACTCTGTAGTTTACTTTTCAAAGCATTTTCTGTGTTGTGTCCGGTCAATTCCAGACATATGCTCAGTAGTGAGGCCAGGATGTCATGTACAGATTTCCAGCATATATATAGTTTTCCGATCCTTACCTCTCTGTGAATCCACCTATATTCACTGGCATCTGTGGGCTCCTTTTCCTGGTCTTTTGACCAGAAAATCTGGGTTTTAGTCTCCTTTACTGCCACACATTTCTTGTAGCTAGGTTTCAGCAAGGCTGAAAGCAGTGATTTAGAGAGAGAGAGAGAAAAAAAAAAAAATCCCTTACTGTCTTAAGAACATAGGGCTTTTAATTTTTTTCAGCTCTTCTAGTCAGAGAGAAATATTTTATCTCGGCTAGTTTCTAAGGGTCTGCAGGTCTGCTGTTTCCACTTCTGCTGCAGGACAGCAGGTTCCTGACTGGCGCTTGCATTGGGTGCAGGACCTGAAGAGTAAAAAAGAGGGAAAAGTCCACACAGGGATTCTTTCCATCCTTGCCATCTGCAGCTGTCCTTTCCATCCTCTGACAAGACGGAGAGGGTTTCTCCTAGAGCTTTTTCTGTCCACATTTACAGTGTGGTTCTGGGATTTAGGTTGCTCTCCAATATAAACTTTGAATACAGGTAAAAACAAAAACAAAAACAAAAAACTCTACAATACTAATTAGAATATTAATACTAATTAGAATATTATACTTTGAGTTTTAATTTGCCTCTCCAATTTCCTTGAAATCATTTGCTTTCCAGAATCATCACATAGTTTCTTTATATATTCCATTTTGAGTCTTGAGTTGCAATCAGTGGAGGAGATGGGGCGGAATGTCCTTATTTCATCTTAGCTAGAATCAGAAGCTCTCATTTCTTTTTAAAAACATGGACAGATAAACTGTGGCATCTCTAATGGAGATTAAATGAACAGAGATTAGGAGTTGATAGTTAAGCATATTTTTCCCACTGGACGAGTATCACTTACTAATTGCATGCTACTCCTACAGATGAGTTACTTCCAATAATATTACCAAAGGACTACTCTCTGAAAAGTTACTGAGGGCTTTGTCAAGCACCTTCTCAGGTTTAATATTGCTAAATTGGTCTATAGGGAGAGTCCCAGAGAGCAACTTGAGTAGATATTGGCCTCTTTTCCTTGGATAAGGAGAGAGAGACTGACCTTACTTGCCTGGCTCCACAGATACTGTGGCATCTCAGTGTTTCTTAGTGTTCTCCTATGCTGTGCTGTGAGCTTTGTATGCTGAGTGCATTTTACCCACGAGCAGGGTAAACATGTAATTCATTGTCTAAACCGGGACACTGGTTAAAAAGAATACTAAATAGATGAAATGCTGGGAAAACAGGTGTCAACTGGAACTCATTTTGGGAAAAGGAGATCATGTGGTCATCCTACAAGTGTTTTTATCTGACATCATCTGTGCTTAGTTCACACTTTTACCCACTATAAGTCATTTCCACTTGATGGAAAAAGCTGAATCCATCCAGAAAGTTCACCTACCATCATGGCACCTTTAGAAGTGATCAGCTGGAGGTCAGATTAAAAAACACAGGATAGTAATGTTAAAGCAGAATTAACAATGCCCTTATTTCTTTCCCAGCATCTGAGTCTAGAAATGTGTGGCTGCTTCCCTCCTACATTTTGGAAAAGAGGGAGACATTTTCTTTGATCCTTTATGCAGAAATGTTACAAAGAGCTCCATGTCTGCTTCTCTCTCTCTCTCTTTCTCTCTCTCTCTCCCTCCTTCCGTCCCTCTTTCTCCCCTTCCCTGTCTGCCTCTCTCATTTAATTGCAACTCTCAATACATTCTATTCTTCCAGTTCCTACTGGTTTTATATTATTTCACCCTAAATCATCGAGAGGTGACAGAATTCTATCAGTGCTTGAATTTGAAACCAGAAACATATTATGCTCTTATTTTCTTAAATTAAAAAAAAACCCTTGGCTTATTGTGAATGAAGCAAAGTTTCTCTTCTCTCTGCCTCATTATTAATATTGAGATACAATCACAGGGGTGGGCTGGGGGGAGGTCAGGCTTTAGAATATATCTCCTTGCTGAATAAATGACAAAAGTTAAAAAGCAGTCATTTAGGAAACTTAAATGTGACAGTTGATGATAGATGGAGGCTGGCAAGACTGCAAAATGAGAAACATTAAAATCGTATATGAGAACAGATCATGCTGCATACTCCAGTCTGTGTCAGCAAGTTTCTTTTGATATGTCAAGTCCCCATGGGCCTGGAACTCCAGCCTACTTTGAAGATGGATTTTAAAAGGAATATGTTTATGTTTAGGAACTTAATAATACCACATGCACCAAGAAATCAGGTGCAAAATCAAACTGAATGCTACTGATTGTGGGATCTTTCCATGCCCGGTGCCCAGGGCGTTACATATGCTCAGAAGCTTCAGAACCAGACCCAATACCACCTTTTCCAGGAAGGCCTTCTGATGCCCCTAGCTGGGTGCATTTGTGCCTCCCCAGAATTCTCAACTCCCTGTTTGAATCTGTTTCATGACATTCGACATTTCCTTCCTTGCAAAACATTTTTCTCTATGGTGTCTTATCTTCCCTGCTGACCTGTGAGCCCTACAAGGACAGGGACCACAACAGTTCATTTCTGCATAGGGCCAGGAAGAGAGCACTGTGGTTATAAGTGTGTTTGAAGGTTTCTTTTCTTCCTATCAGCGCCATCACTTACTGAGGTTAGGACACTATGTTTATACTTCTATCGGAATCTGTTCATCTTGAACCGGTTTTTATTTTTGTGCTTGTTCCTGTCTTCCATACAGTAAGTTCCTTGAAGGCAGGGTATATTCATTTTGGGAATCTCAGTTACTAGCATAGGGTTTGAGCCAC